GCTAGAGAGGGGCTTTCCAACCTCAGGGACTCTCCTAGCCTCTGGCCAGAGCGTGCCAGACATCCAGCACAGCCCCCCTGGAGAAGCCAGCCTCACTTCCCCACTCCCAAACAGCCCATCAGTTTGCGGCATCACGGTCATATTGGTGACTTATTTTGAAGTGCCTGGATGACACTTCCTTTCTGAGTGAGAGAAGAAGAAAATTAGTCTTCAAGACAGCTTTCAAACTAAAGCTACATCTTGTGGAGCCAACGGGGTTTTGAAGTTTCAGGGAAGCAGGGACAGGGGCTACCTCCTCTGTCCAGAGACTCCTGGGGCACAGGGCAGTCTGCTCACCTCAACCCACTCCTCAGGGGGTGTTCCAAGACCCTGCAGCATCTGGAACAGTCTGGGATGCCATGGCTCCAACCAAGCTTCCCTTTGTACGTGCCTGCTCAGTTGCTGAGTTGTGTCTGACTCTTTGCGAACCTATGGACTATAGACCGCCAGGTTCCTCTGTCCATGTGATTTCCCAGGCAAGAATGCTGGAGTGGGTTGCCATTTCCTTCTCCAGAGGATCTTCCCAACCCAGGGATTGGATCCACATCTCCTGCATTGGCAGGCCGATTCTTTACCCCTGAGCCACCAGGGAAGCCCCAGCCAGGCTTCCCAGAGAATCCAAAATCAACCCTTCGAATTTAGGGGCAGGAGGAGGGCCCTGCTCTCTTAAATGGGAGTCCTGACTACTCAGCATTTGCTCCTGCTCTGGGAGGAGGACCAGATCAGCTCTAGCAAGAGCCCAGGGTGGGTGGAGACAGCAGCAGAAAAGGGATGTGAGCTGCTTTCCATCTCTAGACTGAGGCCTCCAGCCTGCCCACCACCCCCAGCCAAGGTCTTTGATCCTCCTCAGCTCCATAAATGTTTAATGCCACTGGCTGGGCAGAAATGAGGCAGGTGCTGAAGCACAGAGACTGGGCGTAGGACTTAAGATCCGTGATGCTGGCTAGATTATTTTCATGTAGGAGCCCTGGGATGGGTGGGAGGAGGCCTTGCCCCTCCATGTGACTGAAGTCCCAGGATTCAAGTTTGTGGCACTAATGAAGGAAACTCTAAAAACCCACCAAGGGGCTGAAAATAAAATGAATAATCAATTGCAGAAGCCCAGTTCCTGGTTTGATTGAAGGAGAAAGATGGAAAGTTAAATGACAATCAAATGCAAATACAGCTCAACAAACACTACAGCAATTACCAGGCGCAGGAACCACATGGTGTTTGCAGGCAGCAGGGGTTGGCAATTTGGAAGCCTGGGCTTATGCAGAGGTGATGGGCGTGGGGCCATTTTAATGGACATTTAAATAGATACAACACACACCCCCCTTCCTGCATCTACTTTGCATACACTGCTACTGAATGGGGAACTGGCATTCTGCATCCAGAGGAAGGTTATACCACCTTCTGTGGCTGCCTCCGCATCATTTCAGAGTGGAAGAGGACTCGAGTGCCTGGGAGGTGAGACCAAAGTGACCCTTGGTTCAGAGGACCTTGACATGGTCGTGCCAGTCTCATCAGATTCTTCACATCGCCTGGTGCAGAAGAGATGAGGGTTGAAATTGAAAGAAGTCTGTAGGGTCCTCTGAGAAAGGGCTTAAGGTGCTGGCCTTCCGACAGCCGAAAAGCTCTGGGTGAGAGTGGCCTCCTCTTCTAGATTTGCATAATGCTTTGCATCTCATTTGAATGCTATTAATTTGGTGTCAGGCTAGGTTGGCACTGCGTAGAAAAGAGAACAGCTGGCCTTCTCCCTCCCCTCTGTACCCTGAGGCTCACCCTGAGCATAGCCCTCCCTAATTTGGGGGATGAGGCTTTCACTTCCACCATCCCCTCAATGTTCCCTGGCACTTGGAGAGTCTCTCAGTCAAGCCAACTCCTAAAAGCCAAGGCTGCCTGGGCAGTGCGGCCACCTGCAGAGTTATGCAGGAGGAAGAAGAAAGGGTCCCCCAAGGTTGCCCTCGCCAGACCCAGAGGACCCATTGGAGGATGCAGGCAGCCTTCTCCTCAAGCAATCAAGGCAGCTTGGCTTGGAAAGGGTCCAAAGATAATAACCCAGAAAGGGAGGGAACAAAGACAGGTGATAATCCCAGAGAAATATGGAGAGCTTGAGAAATAAAATGCTCTGAACTCAATATTTCTAGTGCTTGAACTTACATAAAATGCATCTGTCCAGAGGCATTGGGTTTATGGTAGTGTGGCTCAGGCTGGAGACCTGGTACCAGGATGATGACCATGGGATGAGGGAATGAGTCACGGGGGTGGGGGGGCAGTGAGCTCCTGAGAAAGGGGAAGGAGCCCAAATACATCATGTGGGCTGTCAGATGGGCCTCAGGGGGCTGCTGTGAACTGAGGGTGGGGATGGAAGGAACAAAGCTTCCCTGGCTGGCTGAGATGACCCTCAAAGGCATTTTGGGGGATTTCCCTGGTGGTCCAGTGGTTAAGAATCCACCTTGCAATGCAGGGGGTGTGGTATCCATCACTGGTTAGGGAACTGAGATCCCCCGAGCCACGCGGCAACTAAGCCTGCGCACCACAGCTGGAGAGTCCAAGCACTGCCATGGAAGATCCCGCGTGATGCACGAAGATTCCACTTGCCTCAACTAAGACCTGACATAGCCAAATAAATAAATAAATAAATATATGTATTTTAAAAAGACATCTCAGTTCTTTCCTATATGGAGCCAGCTATAGGGCCCCAAATGCTTCTTACCGGGTTTGACCTAACTGGAATCTTGATCAGCAGTAGATAGAAACTATTTATGTATAGGAAAAGCAAGGAGGAGGTGCCAGTGACCAAGAAGTGGTCTCCCTTTGTCAGGGAGAGCCCTTCTACCCTATAGAATCCCAAGTCCAGTTCCACCCACCTCCAGGGATGAGGGCAGGATGGGTGGGGCATGAACCACTATCCCAGCCAGACTGACCTCAGCCTTTGCCTCTGACAACACTCACCCTGGGTCAAACCCATGGCTGAGGGCATGCCCCCTCTACCCTTTTTTAAGGCCTAAGATAAGATTAGGGGGTTGCTTTGGGTAATATGAGAGGATAATTGAGTTTTCCCCTTTGAGCAAACACAGGCATGAAGCTTCAGAATTACATAAAAGATAGACTTATAGCTGGTTCATGTTTTACAGAGAGCTTTAGGTAAATTTCCTCTTTAAAAAATTGCCATGTACATTTAAAGCAGATTTATGAAAATTTGGTATACTTCTCATTGTTTTTAAGAAGTTGACCCTAAATCCAGTAGGCTGTACTTGACCTTTAAAAATAAGAGTAACAGCACCATTTATTATTTACTATTACTGGGCACTGAGCTGGGGAATTTAACTACATTCTCACAGTAATCCTATGAAATAGGCACTGTTACTGTCCCCATTGTACAGATGAGGAAACTGAGGCTCTGGGAGACTAAAGGATTTGTAACTACCTAGTAGGTCAAACCAATATAGACAGACTACCATGGCAGAGCAGAAATGCATATATGCCAGTGCACCTTTGCAGGCTCCTCTGGTGCTGGGAAGGGTAGGCCTTTCGGAATAGGTGGGGCAGGACTTGTTACTCATCAATTTATTCTTTAGACAAATACTAAGTGTCCACAGTGCTAAATGCTGGGGACACAAAGGTGAGTAAAAACAGGCACTGCCCCAGCCTGCTCAGAGCTCACTGTCTAGAACTGGAGACCTTACACAGAACCGCCTGAATAAATGCAAAGCTACAGTGTAGCAGGTACTCAGGAGAGGTTCCCAGGGCTGTGGAGGCCCACACTGGGGACCTGACTTAGTCAGGGAAGGCTTCCATGAGGAGGTACTGATTGAGTAGAAAGCCAAGGGACATGTATGAGTTATTCAGTCAAATAGGGATGGAGAGTATGTTCCATGCAGAAGGAACAGTAGGTGCAAATTCCTGTGGTAGGCAGGACTAAGAAACTGTTATTGTGGCTGGATCATAGAGAACAAGAAGCATGGGATAGGGAACTTCCTTGATGGTCCAGTGGTTAAGAATCCACCTTGCAAAGCAGGAAACGTGGGTTTCATCCCTGGTGGGAGAACTAAGATCCCAAATGCCACGGAGCAACTAAGCAGATGTTCAGCAATGAAAGATCCTGCATGGTGCAATGAAGATCCCATGGGCCTCAACTAAGACCTGATACAGCCAAATAAATAAATGAATAACTCTAAAAAAAGAAGTGTGGGGTGGGATGCAGCTAGAGAGGCAGACAGGTATAGAACTTCAAAGCTTGGGGCGGGGGTGCTGTACATGACCTCTAGGCTGCCCATCTGTCCATGTGTTCGTCTGTCCATGCATTCACTCAACCTTCCTCCAATCTCCTACCCAGTTCATTCACCACCCTCTCACTCATTTTACTGAATGAGGGACCATTTATCGTGGCAGGACCTCAGTGTTCTGTTGGAGAGGCAGACCCTCAAGGAGCTCTCAGGGAGGGGAGAATTAGTTTCATCACACTGTGGCATAGTATGTCCATCTGTACAAGGTGCTTCAGCAGACAATCACAACCCTGGAGGCTAAGTGTCTCCCATGGTTCAAGCTTCCTAAGGCAAAGCAACCTCAACCCCTCCAGGGAGATCTTCCAGTCACACAATTCTTCCTGGCACCTAACCTCATTCCTTTCAGCAACAAAAGTAGCCCACTTCTCACAGCCCCAAGGTGGGGAGTGTTTCTGATGGCCCTTTTCAGTGACCCTTCTTTTGGGTTTTGAGGCATCTCAGTCCCAGATCAACACAGGGAAAATTGATCAGGTCTCCCTCAGATATCAGAATCCAGTTCTAGACACTGCCTGTTCTGGGCATAAAAAATAGGACAGAAATCCCAAATGTCCCTCAGTTCCAGCCACACACTCCCACTCTTCACTCCTCCTTGAACTATTTGTCCTCTGCTTGTGACATCACAGTGGTCTCTATGGCAACCAATTGTGAGGTCACCAATCCTTAAAGCAACAGTGTCTGTAGGGCCAGACAATGGTCAGGAAGAGACAGGGAGACGGCAAAACAGAGGCTTAAGAAGAAAACCAGCTTCTACACAGAAAGTACAAGGCCAGTAAAGACCCATGGGAGGGAGGAGGACTCTATTCTAGCCCATCTGCAGGGAGGTAAAAACAGCTTATTGACTTTTTCCCTCATTGAAAAGCTTCTACACTGACAAACAGCCCCTGTAAAATTGCCCATGAAGGGAAAACTTCATCTAATCCCACCCAGATGGGCTGTAGACAGTGATGGGACCTGGTAAGCAACATCCTGGGATCACTGAGGTGGCCCCATGTATCATTGGGAAGTAAGGTAGGAACATGGTTCTGTTCTCAGTCTCACTAGCCTAGAGGATCTGGCCAGGACCTGGCCCATGTTTGAACCTTAATCTTAGTATCAGGGAAGGAGAGAGGATGTGAAGGTGCCAAGGAGGGGGAAATTGCTGATACTTCTCAGGAAGGACTAGGCAGGCCTGCTGGCTCTCCCGAGATCATATTAGTGGTTTGCAAGAGTGAGGCCTTCTGGAAAGGGAGACTGCTCATCAAGAGGCTGGCAGAGGGAAATGTCCCTGGTGGTCCAGGACTTTCCTAGAGGCTCAGACAGTAAAGAATCCATCTGCAATGTAGGAGACATGGGTTCGATCCCTGGGTCAGGAAGATCCCCTGGAGAAGGGAAAGGCTACCCACTCCAGTATTCTTGCCTGGAGAATTCCATGGTCAGAGGAGCCTAGTGGGCTACAGTCTATACGGTCACAAAGAGTTGGACATGACTGAGTGACTAACACTTTCACTTTCCAGGGGTTAAGACTTCACGTTCCCAATACAGGGGGTCCCGGTTTGATACCTGGTCAGGAAACTAGGTCCAGAAGTTGCAAATAAGAGTTCCCACGCTGCAACTAAGGATTCTGCATGTCACAATTAAAGATCCAGCATGCTGCAATTAAAGATCTCTCAGGCTGCAAAGACGATTGAAGATCTGTGTGCCACAACTAAGACTTGGTGCAGCCAAATAAATTAATTAAAAAAAAAAAGAGGCTGGGGGCATCCTGAACAGTGACCAGGCTTCAAATTCAGATCTGAGTTGAATTCATCCCAGCCTTTTGCTTGCCTTGAACAAGTCTCTGAGCCTCTCTGGGCTTCCACTTCTTTGCATATAAAAGGAAGACAATGCTACTTACCTTTCAGAGAAATACTCAATGAGACAACCTGTAGGAACGCTTGGCACATAATAGGTACTCAATAAATGCTCATTATAGTTTTCTATCCTCTCAACCGTTAGCCTGGGGTTTTGCATATTATATGTGCTTCATGAATATTTGGACTATAAATGCAGCGTAAGAACAGAGGGCAGTGTTTAGAGCAAGAGAAGTCAGTGGATCTGGGTTCAAATCCTGGTCCTTACCAGCTATAAGCTTTCAAGCAAATTGTCTTACAGTTTCCTTAAGCTGTGAAATGGGAACTCGTGATAGTATTGTCCTCATAGGATTGCTTAGGACTAAACGAGGCAGGGACAGAGCAAGCCTGGCACACACGAAAGTGCACAGTGCGTGGTGGTGATTGGGCTCAGTCTGGAGTGGTTCTGCGCATGCAGCACAGTTTCTGTTTACTTTACAGCTTGAAAGGAGTGCCAGTAATCCGTGGGGCGTCTGGAGCCAGAGAGCAGGTCAGCCTCAAGACGGGCAGAGCAGGGCCGCCTCCCCAGGAAGGGGTCACCACTTCCTGTTTGGATTCTCCCAGCGTGCACCCTCAGGACTGCCACCCAGCTCATGCCGGTCACAGCAGCTGGGTCCCTACCTGGGCTGTGCGTGTGCGTGCTCGGTGCGACCCCATGAACTGCAGCCCGCCAGGTTTCTCTGTCCATGGGATTCTCCAGGCAAGAATACTGGAGTGGGTCGCCATTTCCTCCTCCAGGAAATGAGGGCTGGACCGTGTCTCACTCCTCTGGGAAGCCCACGCCAAGGCCTGACACAAGGCAGAGGCTCAGCAGCCGTTCAGGTGAACTCAGTTAGACACTGCCTTGACAATCCTGTGCTGGTTAGCATGAAGTCTGCATGTACCCCACGGCAGGCTCTGGCCTAAGCATCTTGCCTGTTGTTGAACCTTTGAAGGAGATGTTATTATCCATTTTTAAAACGAGGAAACAGGCTAAGTAACCGGCTCAAGGTCACACAGCTAGTAAGCAACAATGAGTCCGGGATTTCAGCCCAGGCTCCGGTAGCTCTAGAACCTGCACTCTCAACTCTCACGTTAACCCCAGCCTCACGGGCCCTGTCCAGCTGTTTTGCACATCTTCCGACAGGAATTTTCTCCCCTAGCTCTGCCCACCCTATCCCTCTCATCTTCCAACTGAGCCTGGGCCCAAGGCTGCCCAAAGAATGCAAATTCCCTCCCCCGCCCCACCTGCCTCAGCCCTCCCCCTCCCCCTCTGCTGAAATAAAGCTCCTGCTGCCGCTGTCACTGCCACAGCTGAAGCCACCACCGGATCCTTTGCTTATTTCAAGTCCTCCTAAAGCTTGTTGAGTTCTTAACTTATTAAAGATAAGCACATGGAAATAGGGAGCAAATCTCTTTATTTATGACATAATCTCCAGCCCAGAAAAGCGGCAGGAACAGTGTTGCCTATATTAGGGAACCAATAAGAAGAAAATCAATTAGATCCGCCAGAGCGTTTCACTATTAACTTTCTTCTGATGTTTCTCTTAAGGCTGGCCATGGGGGTCTCCACCAGCCGCCAAGCCAGAGGAAAGAGGGAGAATTTTGTAGGGACAGGGGCAGGAATGTCACAAGGAAGGCAGCAGATCAGGCTCCCAGACAGATGCAGGAGTCTCTCCATCCTGGGTCTCCTTCACGGCTTTCCAAACCTCAGCCAGGAAGTCCTTATGGTGATCTGACCTCCATGTTTCTTGCTGCGGCTTCAGCTACTGTCTTCATAGGCAGTGGGAGTCAGCTGGTTATTCTTTGCTTCCTGCCAACCAGAACCACAAAGTCTAATCAGATTTCTGTTAGATCCTTTGAGGGCAGGATCCTCTTCTTACTGGAAGAATGTTATTCTGGAGGGGCTCTTATGGACTGATTTTAAGCAGAGTTGTCTTCTGCTGGGTAACACTACCTGGGACCTGCACCCACACCATGAGGTCCTCACATCCACCTGTGCCTACCTTCTAACTGTCTTCCAGAGGAAGGGGTCTGTCTTACTCCTGAGCAAGTGGGATATCCTGGCTCCCACAGTAACCCAGAGTCTCCTCAAAGCGATCATGGCTTCTTTCCTAGTTTTCCCTCAGGGCTAGGCAAATAGCCTGTGCTCAGTAAATATCACAGAATCAATAATTATTATAATAATAACTCCATTGACTGAATGCTCACCCTGTGAATGCTGAGAAGGGTGGGTGCTTTGTTACACAAAGCAAGACCCTTCGCTTCTCCTTGAACCATCAGACAGCCCAGAAGAGGTCTTGAGCTTTATTTTGCTTTGTTTTGTCTTCTTTTTCTGCCCAAGAACAGCAGAAGCAGCAGCTCTGAGAAGTTAATATTATAACCCCTATTTTAAAGAGGAAAGAGACTCAGATATAACTTGTCTAGGCTAATAAGTGAATGACTCACTCTATCCATCTACTTCTGGTAATTAGTAAGACTTCTTGAGGTCTAACCTAAATCTTGTCTGTGTCAGCAGGAGCAGTTCCTTCTCTGTCCCATGGAAGCAGAGAATAGCATCACCACCCACGTAGACTTCCCTCAGTTTAGGAGCGTCCACCAGCTCTTGGTACAGGTTGACCCACAATGAATATTAAACACCAAACTTCACAGAGGCCAGCCCTGCAGGGCAGGCAATGAAGCCACCCTCCTCATGCCTGTTCATTATTATAATTAATATTGAGCCAGGGTTGCTGGTGATCTTGCCCTCACCAGGTATTTGGGCTATTTTAGAAGCTTATTCAGATCAATGACAGACAGCTCCAAATAGATAAACTCCCTGCCATCTAGACGAATCAATTGCAACACTGCCGTCACAACAAGCCCAAGAAATCAATCTGATTTCAGGCGACATGGTAACTCAGCGCTGGGCAAGCTGATTTTAATTTCCCTGTGGCCGGGCCCAGCTTCCTCTGCTCACTGAAGCACTCCTCTTTCCCAGCTGGTGTCTCGTGCACACAGGTGCCCAGGGTCCTTGGAGAGCTCAGGCCAAGGGGGGCAGTCGTGTGGAGGACAGGGGGACTAGGAGGTCGTGTGACCTTGAGGAAGGCTTTTGAACCCCCAAACCCAGGAGGAGCTGACTCAGCCGCGCTGTTGGGAAACTCATTTTGCTGGCTTCAGCTCCGATTTTCCACTGCCCTCTGCAAAAAGCAAACCTGGGAGCCTTTCTGGGCTGCCTCCCAAATCAGGAGTCACAGAGGTAGCTTGCCTACCTCAGACACTAGGACAAATGCCCTTCTTGGTCTTGGAGATGGAGTTTGTCTAGCAGGGCAGCAAAAACGCTCACCAGAACAGACACAGCCATTTACTGGGTGCTTACTTTATGCCCAGGGAGGTAAGCTTAGAACTTTATACACCTCATCTTCTTAATCCCCGTGACAGCCCAAAGAGAGGAAGCAATTTCTACATTCTGTAGAAGAGGAAACCAAAACTCAGAGAGGTTAAAGAACTTGTTCTGGGTCAGACAGCTTGTAATCGATGCAGCCTGGGTTTAACCCAGGTCTATTAGGCTCCTGTCCCTAAGCCTTAGCAGCCACTCTGTCCTAAAGACACCATCAGAGATCCCCCTCACGCTCCCCCGGCTTGGATCCTGTCTGGTTAAACGAACCCATTCCTTTTCCTCCAACCTGCCAGGGATTGGAGCCTCTCAGGAATTCTCACAATTAGCCATTATTCCCTGAACTTTCACCTGATGCTCCAGGTACTGATGAGGGTGCTGAGGAGAAAGGTCAAGAGGCCAGCTACCTTCCTGCACCTCATCTGTTACTCCTCTCCCCTTTCCCACCCTATTAGTCTATCTGTGTGGTGAGACATGGGGCTTGGGACAGCCTGCAGGGTGTTGGGAGATGTGACTTTGGAGTCAGCTGATTGGGGTTCAAATTCTAGCCCATTCAGTAGAATATCCTGGGCAAGTCTCTTAACCTCTTGGCGTGTCTCTTATCTGATCTCGACAAAATGAAGATACTTTGTTGCTGTTTTTTAGTTGCTCAGTCATGTCTAACTCATTGAGACCCCAGGACTACAGCATACCAGGCTTCCCTGTCCTTCACTATCTCCTGGAGTTTGCTCAAACTCATGTCCATTGAGTCGGTGATGCCATTCAACCATCTCATCCTCTGTCACCCCCTTCTCCTCCTGCCTTCATTCTTTCCCAGCATTAGGGTCTTTTCCAATGAGTCAGTGCTTCCCATCAAGTAGCCAAAGTATTGGAGCTTCAGCTTTAGCATCAGTCCTTACAATGAATATTCAGGGTTGATATCCTTTAGGATTGACTTGCTTGATCTCTTTGCTGTCCAAGAGTCTTCTCCAACCCCACAGTTCCAAAGAATCAATTCTTCGGTGCTCAGCTTTCTTTATGGTCTGACCCTCATGTCCATACACAACTACTGGAAAAACCATAGCTTTGACTAGATGGACCTTCGTCAGCTAAGTGATATTTCTGCTTTTTAATATGCTGTCTAGGTTTGCCATAGCTTTTCTTCCAAGGAGTAAGTGTCTTTTAATTTCATGGCTGCAGTCACCAGCCGCAGTGATTTTGGAGCCCAAGAAAATAAAACCAAGGATAATAATAAAATAACGACAATAAAAAAGGATAATAATAAAATAAAGGCAAGGATACAAACAGAACAAAAGGGAGTTGGTCAGATGGGGTTGGGGGCTGGGAGCCCTCCTGTTCTACCCCTTCCCTCACCCCCAGCCCCACAGTAACTATCCCCCATGCCCCAGGTGGTGTGACCAAGTCCTGGGCCTGGCTATTTTTCTGGGCCCCACACCATCTCTCACTTGACAGCTACCATGAACCTGTTTGGGTTTCGAGCATGATAATTTAGGTGCGAAGTGGGCAAAACTGCCCCTGGCCATAGGGAAGCCACATAGCTACATCCTTTGGGGGTTGGGTTTGGGCATTGCAGCTGGAGACGCTTGAGTCTGGGGACTAGATGGTCCTGGACTATGAAGAAGGGTCTTCTGTCTGTCCCGGGGAGTTTGAACCAGCTCTTGTAGGTGTGGACCCTTGCTCATCAGGCTCTGCATCTTATGTCTTCCTTGAGGGAGGCAGGGATGTCTGAACCTTGAAACCTAGCCATGGAGAATGACATACAATACACCACAGCTTGGGAGTGATGGAAGCAGATTCAAACCCAGGCCTGTATGACCCCAGAGGACTGGGGTTGCCTGCACCCCCTCTTCCATGTGTGGAGGCAGCTCCTCACAACCCGTTTTGTATCTATCAGCCTTTTGACCCACCAAATACAGGGCATGAAGAGAGAAGCTCAGAAGAAAGCAAGAGGGAATGGGAGTAGATGCTGGAAAGACTTCCAGATGCAGGAGATTATCTCTAGGAGAGGTTATTCGAGAGGCTGCACTGTCTCTGGGGTGGTTTCAGTTGGGGTCTCAATTCAGCTGCTTCCCTCCACCCCCCGGCCCGTGACTCCCACTTCTTGAAAGCTACTGAGAGACAAGATGACCTCTGATGAGTGTGACTTTTTTTTTTTAATATTTATTGTTGGCTACATGGGGGTCTTAATTGCTCTGAGGCATGTGGAATCTTAATGCCCCCACCAGGGATAGAACCTATGTTCCCTGCATTGGAAGGTGGGTTCTTAACCACTGGGCCATCAGGGAAGCCCCCTCTCTATTTTTTGAATAGGCAATACCTGCACATGTTTCAAAAATAAAGATACAAAAAATGAGCTGGCTCAGGGCAAGGTCTCCCTCCCACCCAAGTCTCCTTCCCCTCCCCAGGGGAAGCAATGTTCTGCTTCCCATCCACACATATACAAGTAAATAGGGACACATATTCTCTTTCTTTCGTCTCATTTTTAACACAAGATGTAGCATAGCCCGGCACACTGTTCTCTGCCTTGCCTTTGTCACCTGACAATATATCTTGGAGATTACTCTGAATCAGTACATAAAGAGCTGCCTTCCTCTTAGGTGTCTTTTTATGGTCACAGGCTTCTCGGGGAGCTCAGAAGTAATCACATCTGGTTTGATTAGCTCCACATTTCCATTTATGACTACCCCGCCCAGAGAGGGCAGGAAATCTCTCCAAGGTCACGCAGCAAGGACTAAAGATGCGCGCGGGCTTCTCCCCCCAGCTCCGGCCTAGGTTCCTGCTCCCCCAACCCCGGGCCACCTCGAAGCAGAAGCGGCTCAGGCAGGGGAATGAGAGGGAGGGGGCATCTCTAATTGAAATGCTCCCCGCGCTGCGCGTTTGCAGCCGGCACCTGGCGGCGTGCGGTGCGCGGTGCGGGTGAGGGTGCGGCCGGCCTGGGGCTCCGGGCGCGCAGGGGCGGGCGGCGGCCGAGTGCCCACGTGGGAGCAGGCGAGGCCGGCCGAGTCCCCGGGAAACCCGCGCCGCCTGCTTCTCGGTAATGAGCTCCCGGGGCCCGAGGTGAGCTTTCCTCGCTGCTCACACGGCAGTCGCGTGGCACCAAAGAAAACGGGGATTTTTTTTTTCCCTTCCGTGCCTGACAGCTCATTAGAAGAATTAATTTACTCCAGCGTTTGCAGTTTAAAGGACATTATTTACTGGTTAATTGTTGTTATTACAAAATGTTAAATATCATTATTTATTTCCCAGGTCCTGACAGCTTCTCTGACAGGAATTTATTAGGTGAGACGGGATCACCGGTGGTGTCCCTGTGCCGAGCAGCGTGAAGGTGGGCGTGGGGTGGGGATCGCCCTTGGGCCTGGGTCTCTGAGCAGGGGAGGCAAGTGGAGGGGCAGGCCATGGGGGGCTGTTTAGAGCCTGCCTGCCCCCCACCCAGGGGGCTGTCTGGAAGCCGCTTCCACTCTGGGGCCCCTCTGTTCTAACTGGGCAGCCCCCTTGCCCTATAGTCTATCCAGCCATCACCCACATTTCAGTCTGAGGGAGAAGGTTGATTAGGCTCATTTTACAAGTTAGGAACCTGAGGCTCATACACAGGTGACAGGCGGGTGAGACAGATGAGATGATCTGGGATTCAGAAGAGAGCACCGCGGTCTGAGACCTGACGCCCAGCCCTGGGAAATGTGAATTTGGGGGCTGTCTTCAAACAATGGTTCTTCAGACAAGGCCTTCCGTTCCATCCTTTCCTGCCCAGGCAACTGCCAGCAGCAGGTTGCCTCAAGGAAAATTTGGAGAACCAAAGGGAGATGAAAAGTGCTTTGAAAAAGTATGAAATCAGGCTCAACCAAGCCATTATTGTTGCTATGCTGTAAATTATTGCAAAGTTATTTCTGGCTGGCAGCCTGGTTTATTTTAGACCCTACCTCATTTCTTCTGGGTTATGGGTCCTAATTCCTTGTCTGGTGAGAAAGAGTCGAAACACTATTGGAGTGAATCCGGACCAGATTCAGAAACTGTAACTACAGCTTGGAGAATTTTACAGATTCTCAGAAGATCAGGGCTTGTCATCCTTCAGAGGTCTTCTCCACCACCCCCTCAGTTTATTTTATTGCCGTGTTAAATTTTTAACAATTTTATTCATTTTTTTAAGTAGGTAGTTCATGCCCAAGATGCAAAATTCAAAAGGCATAAAATAGTATATGGTGAAGAGTCTTTCTCACTCCTCCGAGACAGCCAATGTTATTGATTCTTTGTTTTGACTGTATTTAAAAATAGCATTGTTTCCCTTTTTTGCTCATGTAGAAAACACAGTTATTCCTACAGAAGGAAATAAAAATCATATGCAATCCCACTTTTCAGAGGTGAATACTGTTGATGTCTTGGTGTATAATCAGGGAGCCTTTTCTCTTTGCACTGATATACAAATCTCTAGTTACAGATTTGCAAGTTGTTGTTGTTTAGTTGCTCAGTCATGTCCTGCTCTTTTGTGACCCTGTGGACTGTAGCCCGCCAGGTTCCTCTGCCCATGGGATTCTCTAGGCAAGATTACTGGAGTGCGTTGCCACTTCCTCCTCCAGGGGATCTTCCCAATCCTGGGATTGAACCCATATCTCCTGCATTGCAGGTGAATTCTTTACCACTGAGCCAACAGGGAAGCCCACAGACTTGCATAACCTGAGTTTATTACTTGTTTACATTAAATATTTGTTCTTCAAAAGTAAAGTTCTGAGAGGATATGTGCTAAACTGATAATTGGTATCTTGAGGAGATGAACTGGATTGGGTTAGGAAAAGGAGGAACTTTGTATTCATTATATAAGATTTTTTTAGAATGCAAATATATTTGTATATTGCTTCCCCCCAATATTCCAGAATCTACTTTTAAATGACTCCATCAGAAGGCTACTATTTAATTAATTCTTTCTTATTGTGGTCTGAAGATGTCTGCTGGTTTTGCTCTTATCAACAAACCGGGGGGGTGGACACTTTTGTACATCTCTGCACACTCATCCATTGTTTCCTTAGGGCAGTTTCTAAGAAATGGAATTGCTAAAGGGAATGTACACTTAAGGGTTTTTTGATCCATCATGTCAAATTTCCTTCCTTCAGGGCTGTTTCAATCTCCCATTCCACCACCTGCTCCCCACCACAACTTCTGATTTGTTCAGCACAAAAGTATAAGGTTTGTGAGATAGTAGGGCAAAGCCAAGGGAGGCTGGCACTGTTTCTTCTCTGGGTGGTGTTCAAAAAGAGGGCAGTGTGCGATTTGAGATGCCTCAGACCCCTGGGATCCTCTCAGGAGTCCCAGAGGGGACCTCAGTGCTCGGATGAGTGCCAAACCCTCAGGCGAGGATGGCAGGGGTCTCAGCAAGTCCTAATCACAAGGTCGAAGGTTTGTGTATCAAGCGTCTGGGTCTGGATCCAGATCCTTCCTCCAGGCGGCCAAGCAGAGGGTAAATGCAGCCCCACTCTCTGTGAGGGTCTCCAGGCTAAAGGCACAGCTGGGATGCTTCCTCTCAGAGCTCTTCCAGTCCATGAGAGTGACATCCCTCAAGATCATGTGGCGCGTGGAGCACCTTCCAATTCCTACCTCCTCTAAATGTTACAGTCAGTCTTCTCTTTGATTCTAGGCGCTCGTTGCTGCCCAGGTCTTGTGGATCTTACCCGAAGCCTTTGCTCCCTAAGATTCTCTGGCAAGTTGACCTATCCCATCTGGAAGTCTTCTGGAGGAACAAGAGGGATGCGAGACGGACTTGTTGATTTAATATTGAAAAGAGGGCATTCCGAAAGCTCCCCTCCTCCCTGGAGACCAGCATCTTGATGGTAGCTGAGGTTTCCTCTTGCTGGGGCAAAGAGAGAACGCCCACGATTGCATCTCATTGGTGAGATGAATAATACATTTGAAACATCTCACAAACTGTTTGATCCGCCTAAAGCTTCAACCGTTAACGTATTTCTCTTTATCCCCAGCAAGGGAGGGCTGGGAACTGTCAACATTTTCCTTTTTGCCTAATTTGTGCTTTCTCCATCAAGAGAAAAGCAGGGGCCAGGGAGGGAAGGAACAGGAAAAGAGAATGGTGGTGACACATACTCCCTGGAAAAATTCAATGAGTCACAGGACTGGGGGTTGCTCCCGTGGCCTGGGGACCAATGAGGTCACCTGGTCAGGGGCAGGGTCTCTGAGGGGAGAGGATGTGCTGTGGGTGTGGGGCCTGTTTGCAGCGCTGTGTGCCCCTAAGAAGTTGATCCTTGGAAGGGCCCATCTCCAGTGTTTCCAAAAATGCTTCCCAGAGGTGAGAAGTTGAGGCTTGTCAGGTGCTAAGTACAGAAGATGCTCTGTTCTCCTCATGGAAGGTGCAGAGTAACGATGTTAAAAACAGCCACTGACTGGGACTTCCCTGGTGGTCCAGAGGTTAAGACTCTGTGCAGGGGGCCAGGGTTCGATCCCTGGTCAAGGAACTAGATCCCACATGCCTCAACTAAGAGTTCACATGCTGCAACTTAAGGTTTCATATGCCTTTACTAAGACCCAGCGCAGCCAAACAAACAAAACACTAAAGTGCCCCGACTGATTTCAGGGGCCAGGCCATGTGCTGGTGTTTAAACTTACAAGCCTTTAGTCCCTTCTTATTTTATTCTGAGGGGTAACCTTAAGTTCTAAGGATCTTATCCAAGGTCACCCTGATAGTCAGTGTCAGGCTATCTGGCCCAGAAGTTCATATTCTTTTTTTTTTTTTTTTTAGAAGTTCATATTCTTAACCACAGGGCTATTCTCTCTCTCAACTAGGTTCTGATCCTTTGCCAAACCTGTCTCCTGTTCTGGAAGGACAGAGAAGAGAGAAGAGGTTATGAGCACAGACTCTGGAGACTGGAATCCTGGCTCCTTCTCCTCACCTCTCACTGTGTGTTAGTGTACTTGCCTTTATGTGGGATCTTTCTGAACCAGGGATCAAACCCATGTCCCCTGCATTGGCAGGTGGATTCTTAACCACTGGACCACCAGGGAAGTCCCTCCNTTTTTTTTTTTTTTTTTAGAAGTTCATATTCTTAACCACAGGGCTATTCTCTCTCTCAACTAGGTTCTGATCCTTTGCCAAACCTGTCTCCTGTTCTGGAAGGACAGAGAAGAGAGAAGAGGTTATGAGCACAGACTCTGGAGACTGGAATCCTGGCTCCTTCTCCTCACCTCTCACTGTGTGTTAGTGTACTTGCCTTTATGTGGGATCTTTCTGAACCAGGGATCAAACCCATGTCCCCTGCATTGGCAGGTGGATTCTTAACCACTGGACCACCAGGGAAGTCCTCCCAACTGATCTCAAACTTATTTCATCTTCCCTCTTGGAACTGCCTGTCTGTCCCAATCCACCTTATTTCCCAGCCCCCTTCCTCTGCCCAGCCTAGCTTAGGGCCCCGCCGTCAGACCCTCTAGGTTCTTAGAGGGCTCCCTGTGATTCCCAGAATTCTGAAGACATAAATCAGATTTCAGCAGGTCTTTTGCCTGACTTCCACTAGGTCCTTTCATTCTCATGGATCTTACCAATGTTCATGGCTCTTTTATCTTTGACAGCCCCCTTATAGGAAACACCCATCCCCTAGGTAACCAGCCGCACACTTTGGCAGGAGGCGGAGCACAGAGAGAGATGGCTTCCCTGGGAGGGAAACAGAGCAGACAAGTTTCCAGCAGGGAAAGAACAAGGGATGGAGGATGGAGAGTGATTTTCCTAATACCTGACAATGTGTCTTCCATCCTGAGCCATTCATTGCTGTACTTTCACAGGCATCCCCCCTCCCTGCGGGGAAGCTAGTAGTTGTGTCCAACCTCAATCCCCTCCCATCGTGGAAGTGTGAAACAGGAGGGAGAAGTCTGTCAGAGCAAGTACTGAAGCTGGATTTTGGAGTGGACATCCTCACAGGTGGTGAGAGGGTGGTTCTGGTGACGCGGGACCTCTCCCAGCAGGGCCGGGCAGCCCCAGTGGTCCCCAGCAGACTGACCTCTGTGCCTGCCCAGCGCCCCAGAACCCTTCTGTTCAGGCCTGGCGTCCCACGGAGGTGGCATTCTGCTCAGCAGCTCCGAGCACAGACGGGAGGGCGGGCATTGCCGAGAATCGATTTGCGGGAGCAGCGGGGGCTTTCTCTTCCTCCCTACTTCCCTGGTCTTTGATCTTCTGTCCTTCCTTCATAGTCCATTTTCCCCCTCCTTCCTCCCTTGATGTCTCCCTCTTTCTCTCCCTTTGGCAGAATCACAGCAGCTCCCTAGAAGGCAGGTGTGGTGGGGGGTTGTAGGGGTTGGGGGCGGAGCAATCTTTTGTCCTCTTTTTCTTTCTGACCGAGTGGGACCTCGCTGCCCAAGGTACCAGCCTCCAACCCAAGTTCTGAGAGGAAAGGTTTGGCCACAATGAAAGGACAGACACACACACACACACACACACACACACACACACACACACACTTGGAAAGAAAGAGGTGAAACAGAGAGAAATCTAGAAAAACAAGGAAAGGCAAAGAGAGAAAGACAGAGACAAGATTCAGAGCATTGAAACAGTGAAAGGCAGAGATGTGGAGAGTCAGAGACAATGAAAAAAAGAGAATTCAGCAAATTAAAAATTTTACAACCATCCAGCAAGTCTGCAAAAATGATCTTCCCTGCGGTCTTTCATTTATCTCATTATCTGACTCCTAATGTGCTTTTCCCCCCTTTTCTTTTCTCGCCACACTTGGTGCAGAATCTTATTAGCTTTTTTCTTTTTCTTCTGGCAGGGGCTTCATATAGTCTTTTTCATTACATTTCCTAATAAAAGCAATCACTAGGATGGCACGGCTGGAGGATTAAAAAGCCACCTCAGCAGCCTCTTGGCCAACAGAGCCACGGCTGTGGCTGTAGCCTCGTTCACGCCGCCAGGGAGCGGGCCAGGTCAGGAAGGCCTGGGCTGTGCTGTGGAATGTTCCAGGACTGAGAGAGGAATTACAGCAGGCTCGCAGGTGAACAATGTCATGGAGATGAGAAAGCAGAAGAGCTGGAGAAGGTGGCCCCTACTTGGAGCTGTCTGAGGGCAGGGCCTGAACCCAGCACCAGCCTGACCCCAGTGTTCCAGTTTTGCTCCAGAGCAAAGAATATTTGGAGCCTTTCTCTTTGGATCTCTGGCTTACCTGGTAGCAAATTCTTTTGAATATCAGTGATGTCAAGTTTTCACCTTTTGAGAGTAGATTTTTAAAAAAATATATTTTATTTTTATTTATGTATGTATTTGGCTGCACTGGGTCTTAGTTGCAGCCTGTGGGAACTAGTTCCCTGACCAGGGATTGAACCCCCAGTCCCCTGCGTTGCAAGCTCAGAGTCTTAGTCACTGGACCACCAGGGAAGTCCAGGGAGTAGATTTGATTTTGTTATCCACACTTTTTTTTTTCTTCATGGTATAATTTGTATAACATGCAGTTTACCATTTTCTTTATTTATTGGCCACATCACGGGGCTTGTGGGATCTTAGCTTCCTGACCTGGGTCTGAATCCGGACCTATGGCAGGGAGAGCACCAGGTCCTAATCACTGGACCAGCAGAAAATTCCCTATTTTTATTTTTAAATTTACCATTTTAATCATTTCAAGTGTCCAGTCCAGTGGCATTAAGTCCATTTACATAGTTGTGCAATGTCACCTCTGTCCATTTCCAGAACCTTTTCATCACCTGTAGTCGTTAACAGTGACTCCCATTCCCCCCTCCCCCAACCCCGGGGACCCCCCCATTCTACTTTCTGCCTCTATGAATTTGACTGCTATGGGCACCTCGTATAAGTAGAGTTATACAGTATTTGTCCTTTTGTGACTGGCTTATTTCACTTAGCTTAATGTCTTTAAGGTTCTTCCTTGTTAAAACATGTGTTAGAATTTCATTCCACAGACAGTGAGAACAAATGTATGGATACCAAGGGGGAAAGCAGGCTGGGATGAACTGGGAGACAGGGGCTGACATGTACACACCGCTGATGCTATCTGCAAGACTGATGCTGAGTGAGAGTCTACTGCAGAGCACAGGGAGCTCTTCTCAATGCTTTGTGGTCCCCTAAATGGGAAGGAAATCCCCAAAAGAGGGCATGAATATATATGTGTAACTGATTCACTTTGCTCTACATTAGAAACTAACATAGCCTTGTAAAGCAACTTTATGCCAATAAAAATTGTAAAAAGTTTTTCACTCCTGTCTAAGGCTGAATAATAATCCATCATGTGAATATACCCCATTTTGTTTATTCCACACTTCTTTTCCCTACAAAATAGAAACATTTCTACCCACAGGAGGAGAGTGAAAAGAGAAAACCCATCTAGAGTCCCATCACATTAACATAACAATCCTTCTTTCTTTTGTGTGTTTCTCTCTGTTGCTAATAATTGAACAATGCTGTCCTCCAAGGACAACTCTAGACCACTCTGAGAAAGCAGTGTGTCAGAGGACTTGGTGCTTGGAAAGGGTCAAAAGTTACCAGGAAACACGTCTGACAAATCAAGTTAAGGGAAAGAAAGGAACCCCCTGTAAAAGAACATGACATTTTATTGCCCCGGGTTATAAACTGGCCCTGAAAGTATTTCACACATTGCCCTCCAACAAGATATGGGCCACACAGAGTGGTGCCGGATCAACAACACAACCTCTCAAGGGGGGCGACTTTGAAGAGAACAATAGAAATATTTGGCTTAGTACTTTAAAAAATATAAGTACAATAAAATTAAATAAAAGCAATTTTGAAATGACTTGCTCATCTGGGGGCCTCTGAGGCCATCCCTGGTTAACTGCTTCATTTCTCAGGTGCTTGGTTGGGGCTGATGGAGTCGAACCCAACTAACATTTCTCAAAGACCAGAGGGCATCACAGGTTTGGGAGGCCGGCAAGGAAAGGCATCATTGCAGA